CAAGCAAAACGGGAACAGACATGGACAAGACAAAGACACAGGTGAAACACATCAGGGCGGGGCAGAACATTCGACAAAGGGGAACAAGACCGGAAGTACTAACTAAAACCAAACTGATGTCAAAATAAAACCAAAGTACAGAAATAAAATCCACACCATGACACTTATACTTAGTGTTAGATGTGTATAAGACCAGTGACTTATTCTTTAATTTGTGCCTTTACTGACATCCATACACTTATTTGTACTGAACTCTTAACCTTTTCCATTATAACTCATGGGTGTCAAAGATCCAGCCCGCGAGACAATTTTTAGTGGCCCCCAAAATTATGTATTATTATTAACTAGCAGCATTGATGGTAATGGGCATCAAAGGCAGGTTATAAATCATCTACTTTCTCAGGAAAACACCCAAATTTAATGTGTTCTAACATTTTTACCCAATAACACATCATTAGAAGTTAAATAGTTCATTAAACAATGTTTTTACTTTATTGTTTAGATTGAACCAAAACTGGATCAAATATAAACACATTGTTTTCAGAAAAATAAACCAGAAAATAACAGTGAAACTCATGTCACATTAAAGTCATGTTAGAATATCTTCATAATGTCAATAATTATATAAAACAAATAAACAAAATCTCTTCTATAGTTTCGGCCCTTACCAGTTCCTATATTTTTTTAAATCGGCCCATGACCAAAAAGAGATTAACACCCCTGCTGTAACTGATGATAACAGTATGACAAAATGTAACTCAAGGGAGATGGGAATTTGTCTGCAGTGCTTTTGTGAAAGTACACACACTGAAAGCGCAACCCTACATACCTTGTAGCTGCCGTGGTGAACCTACGTGCCTCAGGGTAGCAGATGGCCTGGATCAATGTCTTGGCTGGTTTCTCAGGGTTGGTCTGGACCGCACGTTTCAGCTTGGAGGCAGTTATGTATCCAGATCTTTGCCTAAGCCAATTCTTACTTGCACTTTGACTTCTAGTTACCCTCTCCACAGCCTGGACCTGGGAGAGGGTGAGCTCTTCGAGCTTGAAGTCCTGGGTTCAAGCTGTAGGGTGTTCTATACTCCAGAATAGAGCCCTGCACTTGAGCCCGACAGCCCGAGGACCGGGCTCGGGCACTTTTATTTTCAGAGCGGCAGATTACATTTATGAACGCACCGACGTGTGCTGTAGTGTTTGTTGTTCTGTATAGTATTGTCATAGACGACATATAGCGATACCTTCAAGTGTATTGTAGTTTTTTCAGCATCTGGGAATTATACAGCATTTGTGCATCATACAGCTGTGGCCGTTCACTCCGTACACACAGAACTCATTGAAACACATCACTACCATGTATAACTGCGCCCTCTAGCCGGGCCTGTGTTCATATCAGTGCGTGGCACTATATACTACGCTAAAACATTGTTATGGGAGGTAACAAATAAATTAAAAAAAGTCGGGCTTGATACCATGTGGGGCCGGGCCGGGCTCGGGCGCCACCCCCTCGGGCCAGGGCCGGGCTCGGGCCCGGATAATAATAGGCCCGTGCAGGGCTCTACTTCTGAACGCATTTAGGAAGCATACTGGATTTGGGGATAGAAAAAGTTCCAATACTCTGACCCTCTCACCACTCGTGAGCAAGATTATTCTCTGTGTACCTTTTCTGCCAGGTGATCCAACTACAAAATCCAAAAAACAGAAGCTGGATTGTTCGATTGAAGAGGAAAAATCAATGCGAGCCACAGGAGCAGTGGGAATCTGAAAGATAACACAAACAAGATCATTAAGCCTACATTTCTGGGGTCCAATACATACAAGCAGAATGTAAACTACAATACTTATAATAAACAGTATCTCCTCCGTTATAGACATAAATGAACATAAAACACACATGAACTTATTTAAGTCATTATTTACTGTACTCCACAGTGCCCCTAAAATTGTACCACTTTTTAAATTTATAATATTAATCCTTTGGATGACAAAGGATTAAGGCTGAGTGGATAGCACTCTCGCCTCTCAGCAAGAAGGTCCTGGGTTCGAATCCCGGTCGGACCAGGGCTTTTCTGAGTGGAGTTTGCATGTTCTCCCCGTGTCTGCGTAGGTTTCCTCCGGGTACTCCGGTTTCCCCTACCACTAAAAATATGTCCAATAGTTCTGGCATATGCCTCCTGTTCGGCAACCCCGCTCCCATCTCTGTGTGGAGTGAGAGACAAATGCCCAAAATTAACAATTGTAAACCGCTTGGAGACTCAGATCTGCAGTGAAAAGGCGGTATATAAATAAAAACTTACTTACTTACATAATTCGCTGTTATCTGTGAATGCTGACAATCTGTGAATGGAGTAGAATATTGTAATATGGTTCATCAATATGCAATCTAAACCAATGGCAAAGAGCAAAAATATCAATGATGTGCAAGCCTAATGACCAAGTACACATATTGCTACATACCCTGCCATGCAGTTGCAATGAGCAGCTATGACTTCCCCATCCTCCTTAGCAATAATCCTCGTTTTCAGCTGCATTTCATTAGATCTCTGCGAGTAGTTTACCTAGACCAGGGGTGTCAAACTCTATTTGGTCCGGGGGCCACATACAACCTAATCTGATCTCAAGTGGGCCGGACCAGGAGATGCTCTACAAAAATATCCAAAATCGGTACAAAGTCCAACTTTTTGTGCACATAAACACATTTATTTAAAACTTCCTTTAAAACACTATCCTTTAATACTCAGTTTTCTGTTACAAACTTAAATGTAACAGTGAGTTTTCCATTAGTGCAAACAATGTAATGTATTTACAATATTACATTGAAAATGGTATTTCACAATATGTATATTAATATTTGTATGTTAGCTTTGTTTTAAGGCTCATTACAGAGAAAACTTGCTCACAAAGGTAAAGTAGGTAGACAGAAAAAAGCACTTTGACACAGCACCTGAGCTTAACCATCTTCAGTGTGGTAAGGTCCACGGTTATGTTATTATCACATTAACCATCTTCAGTGTGGTAAGGTCCACGGTTATGTTATTATCACAGAGAAAGCATCAAACTGACCATGATTCACTTGAAATGAATAAAACAACTTCCATAACGTGATCCATTCTTAACGACTGCAGCAGTGTCTCTGTGTAAAATACAGTCAAATGTCCAAAAATCATCACCTCCATTTGCAGCTTTGTCACTACACCCGTTTTTACCATCGGTACCCGTCCACACTGTCCAACACACCAGCAACAACAGAAGAACCAGCAGCAGCACCAGCAGCAGCAGCGCTCAAACTCCTCTGATAGTTTCAGTAACACCACAAATGAATATGTGACATCAGTAACATCAGTCTCTTATCAATGGCAACATGTTGGTAAAAGCGAGTGGTTTCTCAGACCATGTCTGCAGCCTGTGAGAGTTTTAACAAACTCTCTCTCACTGTGCGGCTGCGATGCTAATGCTAATGTTGTTAGCACAGGTAGGTTCCCTTTACAGCAGCAGAACTAACCTCTCGCTCTGGGCACAAACAGACTGCTGTGTCTTCAGGGCCAGACATGTTTATCTTCTGTTTTCTCAATTCTCCGCTCAAAGTGCCGTATTTTTCGCAGAGTCTTGTAGTTTAAGATGTTATTCCTCCAGCACCGCTCTGGTGGAGCCACTACAGACGCACTGGACTCACCCCTGAGCGTCGCGTCGCGGAGCGGCTTTTTAAAATGTATTATTATTATATTTTTACATAAATGAGCCGCGGGCCGTGTCAAATCTCTTGGCGGGCCGGTTCCGGCCCGCGGGCCGTATGAATGACACCCCTGACCTAGACGAAATGAATCATGAAACCGTTGTCACGCTGATGTTTGTGTAGTGCGCACAAAGTTAAAATAACACTAATAAAAATAGTACTTGTAGCTATTTTTGTTAAAAGGAATCTAAGTTTTTAGATTGCAGAGTGATTGTAGATTGCAGAGTGTTTGCAGAGTGATTAAACCGAGATGTCAGCCATACTGATACTACAGTCTTACTACTGTTCAACAACTGTAAATTTTGATACGAAACACGGCATGCTTCAAAATACTGCACTTTAATACAGATTGCAATACTTCTGACATGTACACACAAGTAATGCCCATTAGTTTTCTGCCAGGCGTACACACTGCATTTTCCCATAAGAATAATGCGCAATAAGAAAACCCTCACCCTGGCGAAGACCAAACGACAACCATCGCGTAGACGTTTTGCCCCAAGGTAGTTGACCCATCCGCTAACAAAAAAGCTATATGCCTCCAAACATTTATAGGCTTTCTGGTATAGTACGATGTCTAGGACCAGGTAGTTTGTGATATCCACAGCCTTAATTGTCGGCAAATCGTTCCGTGCTTGTGAAATTTCTTTCATTTTCACAAGGTACGGGTCACGTCCGATATATTTTTCACTTAAGTGCTGGTATCTTTTCCTTGGTTTCCTGCTCCAAATCGTTGTAATAAGCACTCTTCTCCATTTCCCTGTTCTCCATTGTTGTTCTTGTTATGTTCCGCTCCACTTCCTGTCCCCCACCTTAAATTTGCGCACCCCCGTGACCACATGAATGAAACCCTGCTATTGGGACACCCTAAGCACTCGCACCCATCATCGGGAACACGCAAATGAGGGGCGCGAGGGTGGAAACTTGCGAGTATTGGGTCAGGGCCAATGACTGCTTTTGTCATATGATATCTGAGTGTATATTCAGCAGCCTTTCAAGCTTACACACTTTCAATATCAAACATGTAAGTCCAGAGGAGTGTAAGATGTGAAAAGGCCTATAAAAACAATTTTGCACAACTCCAAAGCTCCCACATTGCTCATCACATAACATGAACGTGACATTTCGAGCTTATAGTTGTGTTATGTTTTTGTCAAATGTTATTCACTAAAAGAAAATGTAACCTACTGCCCTTTGTTTTCTAAAGGAGGTGATTTTGAAGAATGGCACAGAGGCATTTAATGCATGGGAGAGTCCACCAGCTCCCATTTACATGCAGTTCTACTTTTTTAACCTGACAAATCCATTTGAGGTCCTGGATGGTGAGAGGCCTGCTGTTGTGGAGATTGGACCATACACTTACAGGTGAGACTCAACCCGAAGACTAAATTTTTGGTCATTTGTGGTCCATGATAAGACTGGCTTCACACATGTAAAAACCTGCATTTATATACAATACACACTTGGCAGCTCAGTTCATTAAAGGAGCTATACCCGTTTCTGCAAGGTTTTTTTCAGTTTGAATGTTTAGCACCTCCCCCAACTCGCTCACAGGCTTCTCATTTCCCCTACGCTCTCATCCCACAAAGCCCTCTAGTTTTATTTACGATCTGATAGGTCTGCAAACATTAGCATTAGAGCAACTTCTTGTAAACTGTACAACAACCACTGATGAAATGGTACAAAAGCAACACACTCCTAATAGAATATATGTGGGGCAAAAAAGTATTTAGTCAGCCATCGATTGTGCAAGTTCTCTCTCTTAAAATAATGACAGAGGTCTGTAATTTTCATCATAGGTACACTTCAACCGTGAGACCGAATCTGAAAAAAAAAATTCAGGAATTCACATTGTAGGATTTTTAGAATTAGAAATAAAATAATTTATTTGTAAATTATGGTGGAAATATGGAAGTATTTGGTCAATAACAAAAATCCAACTCAATACTTTGTAATATAACCTTTGTTGGCAATAACAGAGGTCAAACGATTACTACCAGTCTTTACCAGGTCTTTACCAGGTTTGCACACACAGTAGCTGGTATTTTGGCCCATTCCTCCATGCAGATCTTCTCGAGAGCAGTGATGTTTTGGGGCTGTAGATTTTCAATGGGGTTGAGGTCTGGAGACTGGCTAGGCCACTTCAGGACTTTCAAATGCTTCTTAGGGAGCCACTCCTTCGTTGCCCGGGCAGTGTGTTTGGGATCATTGTCATGCTGGAAGACACAGCCACGTTTCATCTTCAAAACTCACTGACGGAAGGAGGTTTTGGCTCAAAATCTCACGATACATGGCCCCGTTCATTCTTTCCTTAACACGGATCAGTCGTCCTGTCCTCTTAGCAGAAAAACAGCCCCAAAGCATGACGTTTCCACCCCCAGGCTTCACAGTAGGTATTGTGTTCTTGGGATGCAACTCATTATTCTTCTTCCTCCAAACACGACGAGTTGAGTTGATACCAAACAGTTCTACTTCACATTCACCAGGTCCTCCCGTGTGGTTCTGGGATTTTTGATCACCGTTCTCATAATTTTGACCTAACAGGATGAGATCTTGCGTGGAGCCCCAGATCGAGGGAGATTATCAGTGGTCTTGTATGTCTTCCATTTTCTGATAATTGCTCCCACAGTTGATATGTTCACACCAAGCTGCTTGCCTATTGTAGATTCACTCTTCCCAGTCTGGTGCAGGTCTACAATTCTTTTCCTGGTGTCCTTCGACAGCTCTTTGGTCTTGGCCATAGTGGAGTTTGGAGTCTGACTGTTTGAGGCTGGTCCTCCCGTGTGGCTGCTCCCCCCTGGACTGCCACCCTCCCCCCTGGACTGCCACCTTAACGTGGTGGAGGAGTTTGAGTACTCGGATAATCCTGGGAGCTATGCTGTCTGGGGCGTCATGCCCCTGGTAGGGCCTCCCATGGCAGACAGGTCTCGGGTGACGAGTCAGACGAAGAGCGGTCCAAAAACCACCATGGACAGCATAATAAATAGACCAGTGACGTCGCCCGGCATGGCTCAGCCGGGGCCCCACCCTGGAGCCAGGCCTGGGGTTGGGGCTCGTATGCGAGCGCCTGGTGGCCGGGCCTTAGCCCACAGGGCCCGGCCGGGCTCAGCCCGAAGGAATGACGTGGGCAGTCCCTCCTGTGGGCCCACCACCTGCAGAGGGGTCCGTGGTGGCGCGGTGATGAGAGGACTGGGCGGCAGTCGAAGGCGGAGACCTCGGCGACCCAGTCCGCACACACAACATCTGGCTCTTGGGACGTGGAACGTCACCTCACTGGGGGGGAAGGAGCCCGAGCTCGTGGGGGAGGTTGAGCGATACCGACTAGAGATAGTTGGCCTCACCTCCACACACAGCTTGGGCTCTGGAACCCAACTCCTTGAGAGGGGTTGGACGCTCCACTTTTCTGGAGTTTCCCGTGGGGAGAGGCGGCAAGCTGGGGTGGCCATTCTCATTGCCCCCCATCTCAGCCGCCACGTGTTGGAGTTCTCCCCGGTGAATGAGAGGGTCGCGTCCCTCCGCCTCCGGGTGGGGGACAAGTCTCTCATTGTTGTGACGGCCTACGGGCCTAACAGCAGTGCAGAGTACCCGGCCTTCTTGGAGTCCTTGGGAGGGGTACTGGACGGTGCACCGCCCGGGGACTCCGTTATTCTCCTGGGGGACTTCAACGCCCATGTGGGAAACGCCAGTGACACTTGGAGAGGGGTGATCGTGAAGAACGGCCCCCCTGATCTGAACCCGAGCGGTGTTCAGTTGTTGGACTTCTGTGCCAGTCACAGTTTGTCCATCACGAACACCATGTTCGAGCACAAGGGTGTCCACCAGTGCACGTGGCACCAGGACACCCTAGGCCGGAGGTCGATGATCGACTTTGTTGTTGTATCATCTGACCTTCGACCGCGTGTCTCGGACACTCGGGTAAAGAGAGGGGCGGAGCTGTCAACCGATCATCACCTGGTCGTGAGTTGGATCCGCTGGCAGGGGAAGAAGCCGGTCAGACCTGTCAGACCTGTCAGACCTGGCAGACCCAAGCGTATAGTGAGGGTCTGCTGGGAACGTCTCGCTGAGCCCCCTGTCAGACGGACTTTCAACTCACACCTCTGGGAGAGCTTCTCCCAGGTCCCGGCGGAGGAGGGGGACATGGAGTCCGAGTGGACCATGTTCTCTGTCTCAATCGCCGATGCGGCGGCTTGTAGCTGTGGTCGCAAGGTCTCTGGTGCTGGTCCCGGCGGCAACACCCGAACCCGGTGGTGGACACCGGCAGTAAGGGATGCTGTCAGGCTGAAGGAGTCCTATCGAGCCATGATGGTTCGGGGGACTCCTGAGGCAGCTGTCCAGTACCGGCAGGCCAAGCGTGCCGCGGCCCGGGTTGTTGCAGAGGCAAAAACCCGGGACTGGGAGGAGTTCGGAGAGTCCATGGAGCATGACTATCGGTCGGCCTCGAAGAGATTCTGGCAAACCATCCGGCGCCTCAGAAAGGGGAAGCAGTTCTTTGCCAACACCATGTACGGTGCGGGCGGAGAGCTGCTTACCTCGAATGGGGATATTGTCGGGCGGTGGAAGGAATACTTTGAGGTTCTCCTCAATCCCCCCGTCACGTCCTCTGTTACAGAGGCAGAGGCTGAGGATGTTGGGGCAGATAAATCCATCTCCCTGGCTGAGGTCACCAAGGTGGTTGGCAGCCTCCATGGTGGCAAGGCTCCGGGTGTGGATGAGATCCATCCTGATTATCTAAAGCCTCTGGATGTTGTAGGACTGTCTTGGCTGACACGTCTCTGCAACATCGCGTGGCGATAGGGGGCGGTGCCAATGGAGTGGCAGACCGGGGTGGTGGTCCCTCTCTACAAAAAGGGGGACCAGAGGGTGTGTTCCAATTATCGTGGGATCACACTCCTCAGCCTCCCCGGTAAGGTCTACTCCAAGGTACTGGAGAGGAGGCTACGGCCGATGGTCGAATCTCGGATTCAGGAGGAGCAGTGTGGGTTTCGTCCCGGTCGCGGAACACTGGACCAGCTCTATACTCTCCATCGGATACTCGAGGGTTCATGGGAGTTCGCCCAACCTGTCCACATGCGCTTTGTGGATTTGGAGAAGGCGTTCGACTGTGTTCCCCGGGGTGTCCTTTGGGGGGTTCTCCGGGAGTACGGGGTCGGAGGTCCTCTGCTGAGGGCCATCCGATCCCTGTATGACCGGAGCCAGAGCTGTGTTCTCATTGCCGGCAGTAAGTCAGACCTGTCCCCGGTGAATGTTGGCCTCTGACAGGGCTGCCCTTTGTCACCGGTTCTGTTCACTGTGTTTATGGACAGAATTTCTAGGCGCAGCCAGGGGTCGGAGGTGGTCCGGTTTGGAGACCACAGGATTTCATCTCTGCTGTTTGCGGACAATGTTTTAGCCACTTAGCCTCCAGCTAAGTGGCTAAAACTGGCAGTCATGTTGGTTCCTGTGTTCCTGGTGACGTGACTTCCTGTATCCGGTGAGCGTGTTTCTTGACTGCTATCACTCTGCTCTCTGTTTGCACTAACAAACACATTACAAATCCACGTATTGTACACCAAGCTAACTGTGTAAGCACTCAGAGTCAGCTGTACTGCAGCTGAGGTTTAGGTAGCGGTTGTTTGTCTGGTCTCGGAGTCTGTTGTGCGGGCCCGGATCCGTACTAGCTTAGCCTAGCCTAGCCGCTAACTCGCTACTATGGCGGCTGCTGTCTCTCCCTCAATCCTTTACTGCTCGAGTTGCCATATGGCGAGTCTAAACCCTGGATCCTTCTCTGAGGGTAGTGATAGATGTGTGAAGTGTAGTGTAGTCGTAGCTCTGGAATCCAGGGTCAGTGAGTTAGAGCTGCGTCTCCGAGCACTGGAGTCTCGAGCTAGCGCTAGCATTAGCTACAGCCAGGCCGTATCCTCAGGGACAGCGGAGCGCAGCTTTAGGGAAAGGCAGAGGAGAACTAGCGAGCCTAGCCTCCCAGCCCGTCCTCCGCAGCTGGGACAAGACCAGGATAGTGATGGCTTTGTGACTGTTCGGAAAGGGCGACGTGTTGTTGGTAGTTTCCCCATTGGGCCCCTCCTGTTAGCATTTACAATCGCTGGGACGCTCTGTCCGGCTGCGCCCCCGCGCGGCCGGGCGGGGAAGAAGGCCCCATTGAGAGAGCCGCTGAGAGAGCTGCTGAGAGAGCCGATGGAGTCGCTGATGCGCTGGTAATTGGCTCCTCTATTGTTAGAGGTGTTAAGATCCCAGGAGCCACTGTTCGGTGCTTCCCTGGGGCCAGGCTTGGTGATATTGAAGGGAATCTGAGGCTCATGATGACCCACAAGCAGCGTTTCCGTCGAATTGTTATTCACGCGGGTGGTAATGACGTTCGGCGGAAACAG